TTCACTTTCTTATGCTATGCTACGTGGTCTTGGTGTTAGTGCGCGTGATACAATGCTTATTATGTTAATCTTTCCCGTTATTGAGGCACTTTCATTTTGGATGCTACTTAGAAAACCGATAATACTACCTGTGACAACAGTGGAATCAACTGAAGAACTAATAGCAGATGAACCACCGTTGGAAGGCTTCAAAGAGAAAATTATGTACATCAAACATTTGGTAAAATATATGGTGCCACTTGCATTGGTTTACTTCTTTGAATACTTTATCAATCAAGGATTGGTAAGAATTATTTTATATTGATAGTTGTAGTTTAATTATTTCACATTAAATATTTTCAGTTTGAGTTGGTATTCTTTGACAACACTTTCTTGGATAAAGATGCACAATATCGCTGGTTGAATGTAGACTATCAAATTGGTGTCTTTATATCACGTTCATCAGTTAATCTCTTCCAACTTAACAAGATTTGGTTGATGTCGGTGTTTCAATTTGTCAACGTCGTTTATTTCCTCACAGAAGTCATTTACTTCTATACACCAAATATTTGGATTGTCTTTGTCATAGTGCTTTGGGAAGGTTTACTGGGTGGTGGCGCTTATGTAAATACATTCTATAGAATGTCCAAAGAAATATCGCCTGGACGTCGACAATTTGCAATGTCTATGGTTGTGCAATCTGATTCATATGGAATTGCCTTGGCAGGATTCCTAGCCATTCCAGTACACAATGCGATTTGTTCCCTGCCTGCTGCTGTAAGAAGCGTAGTTTGGTAGTGTAAATATTGTACTAGCAAAATGAACAGTAATTAATTTAAATTTAATTAGTATAATTAAATACATCAAAAATATATTTTAATTTGTTATGTATTCACAAAAATTCATTTTTATTAAGTTTAATTAAATAATGCAGAAGATTCAGTATGATTGATATTAAAGAATTTAAAATAATATTGTAAGACTGAACTCTGATTTTTTGAAGTGTAAATTATTTATTTTTAAGGATTTTCTAGTGTATTATAGTATTTTGATTAAATGTGTAAACAATTTAAATAGTATTGCTTTTCATGAATTTAATAGTAAATTTTAGTTATTATTAATTACTTTAATTTAGCATATATAATTTTGTTATAAAATCAAACTCAGGATATGTTGTGAAAAATATTGATTACATATATACTGGTATCTATAAATATTCTATTGTATGAGTATATAGTGTATAATCGAATCTGTACATATTAATGAATATATTGCATATATATCTAAATCTGTTGTGTATTAAATAAAACCAAATATAAATAGTTATAAAGCTTCAAATAAATAAAAATTGTCCGATATTTAAAAAGCATCAATAATTGTATTTTTATTGAATACCATATAAACTAACGTATCAATATATTATGTATATATATAGGTATATAGGTATTAAATAGTTACCTATTATATAGTTATAGGTATATAGGTATTGAAGTTAAATTAATAACTAAGGCAGACAGTCGATATAAAAATAGAATCGATTAGTTCCAAAAGTATGTAATAATTATTATCACTTTAAGTAAGTACATATACTTTTAATATTTTGCATAGATTACAATATATAATATAAGCCTTTATTGTAAGACAATATAATTGCCTTCATGGATTCAGAAATGTAGAATAGAAGGCTCACTAATTAGATTTTATTTATCATTTAGTAAATAAACTTTATTGTGCTATTAGAAATTGATTACCTTGCTTACTTTCTTTTTGCAATTATGTCCCATAACCTTTTAGAGAAGAAAAAGAGGGCAACTTTATATTGATCGATTTAGAAATTTATTTCGTTGATCGGCAAATTTTTAAAATAAATTTAGTGATTAAAAATAATAAATACGGTAGTGAAGCATATATAATGTAAACAACTATAGACGAAATGTTCTTCAGTGATTTTATGAGCAGATAAAAGAACTCACATTAAACAATATGACTTCTCATATATAGAAACGGTTGTAGGCCTGTATTTAGACAATTACCGACAACATTTTTAAATTCTTAACAGTTATGATGTATTCTATATGAAAATTATTTAATTTTGGTTCTAGTCACTCACAACCACTACCAAGCTACGTGCCTGAAATTTGGGTGTAACAGTCATGATTATGTAAAGTAAAATATTATTTATACATAAGTGCACTTAAATAAAAATTAAACAAATAAAATATTATTAACATAATTATTAAATTTTATTCTAAGTTATATATACTATGAGATTTTCTCAAGTATTTTGGATTTGTGTTTATAAATAATTTAATTTCTTTTTTATCGCATTTGTTTATTTTTTCATTTCTAATGTTATTGTCTTCCCATTCTATATGTGTATGTAATATTATATCACATAAGATCCTGCCAATGTCTGTTATTTATAATATTTGTCAACTACTAAATACCTACGTGATACTAGGGTCAACGGTTGTTTATTAAATTAATTATTCGTATATTAATTATTCGTTACAGAAAATGTTTGAGATTGTGTCATTATCGGCAGTATGATCTTACAGAAGATAGGTCTTATTGTTGTTAGTACCTAAACCAGAAATCTTACGTTACCAAGGTGTAGATTTGAAGAAAAACTCAAGATGGCTGTACACTATGTTATGGTTGTGGTAGACTTGTAGGTTGTCAAAAAGAGGTTTGCTAAAATAGGGATTAAATCAAAAGAGCAACCCCCAGGTTGATAGGTATGTTAAGTAGCATAAAAATCTGTCATACATACAGGCTGTTCATAGAATTTATTTAGGCATCAGTTTACTCCGACACTTCGATTCTAGTAGAAGCGATAAGTGAATGTGCGATCGTATGCAGCTGTAGTTCGAAGGGTGTCTACCTATAACGGTGTTGTGGCTAGTCATTTGTACAGATGTTAAATGAGAACAAATGAGAACTAATCTTAAAAATAGGAGAAGCAAAACTCTTTACTCAATCACATCCATTTGGGTCAAACGAAAAGTGTTGGAGTACTCCTATTCTATCTCTGCTTGATACTAGAAAATCTACAACATTTTATTTGAAGAGCTCATTGTCTTGTATTCAGTAATTGTCAGGTTTTGCTTAACTCTGCTGGTGTCAAAACCTTATTAATTTCTATTTTTTTTGAAGACTTAAAAATTTGTGATAATAATAAGTTATCATTTACTTCTTGAAATTATAACTTCGATATTTTAAAATAGCAAAAATTTAAGCAATTTCTTTGCGTAGAGATACAAGAGCAAGTCAAGAAGGCTTTGGAAAACAGTCAAAAAATGCCAGCAGCGTTATTTATAATGCCTGTAGTAATTAATGAAAATAAACAATTTTTGTATTTTTTTCCCAAATGGTAAAATATCAAATTTTTGAGAAGTGATCACATATCTCCATCTAAAGACCAAAAGAGATCAAAGTCAATTTATATATTGATAACATTATATCTGAATCAATCTTTGTGAGTAGGATGGGTAAATGAATTTAAAGAATATCATATATCCAATTGTGATGCATCATATTCGTGGCTTCTATTATTATTAAATAATAGGATATGAAAGCACCCCGACCTAAAAGATCTATTGTGTGCTTAAAGGCCGAACTAACACAATTCTAGACTATTTATAAATCTCGTAATTGCTATTTGATTTGGGACTAAGATCCCACTTCCAGAGTATTCGAGTCTACGTCTTGCCTTTGGGCAGTTCCATAGGAAATGTTCTGATGTTTTCTACTCCTCATGACTGAATCGACAGGAAACACATTCTACCGCACTTATGATCTTCATCGGGGCTTCTAATTCAGAATGTTAAACTAAAAATCATCAAAATGTGCGATATTGTTTTGACTGACCCACGAGTGAAAGTTTTAGAGTTTCTTAAAGCCACAAACATGTCTCGTGATGTGATGATTTTATGTTTGCATATATATGGTTGCTCATTGTGAAGCATAAAGTGAATTGTATTACTAATTCGAAATAGTGTTAATTAATTTTATTACTATTCGATTAAATATAAACTGTTTACCACATCTATTATTAAATTAACTAATCACTCTTTACAAAATATTTTCCTTGATAAAATATGGTAATATGTTAAGTTGCTCCATAAAAGGTACTACGTTCCTCGTTAAGATGAGAATATAAATAATATCAAACCTTAAAGATATCGTTTTAAATCAAATGAGTACATTAAACCGGTAATTTGTCAGCGAATAAATATTAAAAACTTGCATATATGCGAAATATATTTTTAAAAAAGTTTTATCTTGAAAAAAAAATATAATTTATATACTGTTTATTTCATGAGAAATTGGTTTTGTTTTTAAATATAATTTAAGTATATTTTTAACATCTATTATTTAAATTCAAATTACTTTCAACTCAAATTGCAGTCAAGCTGGATGGCTTAATACTCCAAATGTATGTTGAAAATATTCTAAATACCACCATTTCACTACATTATCGGCACAATTTAGAATATCCCTCAATTAGAAAGCAAATTAGATCAACTCGCACACGCCCTTAGTTACAAATATCTAAATGCATTTAAATGATTAGAAAAAACTTAACAAATGCTTATGTTAATTAATATTTATTAAAACGACAAAAACATAAATTAAAATTTTTTAATTTATGACAAGAGATAAGAGACACCTTCTACGATGTTATATATAAATATATATAATAAAATGTTATTTTTAATACTTTTTTATCAAATGTCAACTTTTCAATACAAATTACAACAGAAATATTCAGTAAAATATTTTAATATATTAAAATTTAAAAATATTTTTAAATGCTTAATTTTCGAAATCGCATTAGACTAAGCGAAAGTCAATAGAATGCAGTTTTTGGTATCTTTACTGAAAATTGTTACAAAATATCATTTGCTTTAAAGAACCACTTTTCGGAAACCATAACTCCAAAACTTGTTCTCTAAAAAAGGTTTTCTAATATGTTTTCTTATACCATTTAAAACGAATTAATCCTCATCGATTGACACTAAATATTTTTTTTTAAATTTAGTTGATTAAGTTTATCATATTTAGTAAAAAAGGTTGAAATAAAATTAATTTTTTAATTACTTACACTAGTGAGCAAGAAAAAAAATTGGTACTTTCGCCGTTCACATAATTATTTGCTTATATTCACAAAATATTGGTCTCGCCCGTGCGACTAGTGGAGAATAACATTAGTATGACTTTCTCAGCATTACGTTCCTAGATTAGGTTCTATACATAAGAAAGAACAAATCATACAATAAAAAATGCCTCTACGAACAGAATAGTATTGAAATTTAACAATTGAAAATAAAATTATAATTAATTTATTAATTCAATTATTATACAGCTGATTTATGATTTCGTTCTAATATAAACACAGCAAGTAAAATTGTTAATAAAAACTTTCACAGCAAAAGTAACAAAACTCCAGAAAAATATGCGAACAAAAAAGTCAAGTACGGCTTTGGAACAGTTGGTTAAGGTGCGCTGATTCTGAGCTTCACATTTGGCAGGATCCGAGTTCGATTCCTGGTACTTGCAGTCTCAAAAATAATTATATACGAATAATTAAATACAAAAATTATTTCCAAGACCACTGATGAAGGGTATTTGGCAATACTCGAAATAGCTGTATGGTCAGCCAAAAATTCAATTAATTAAAATAATATAAAAAATAAATTTTTGTTGTTGTATTTCACCACTGTTCGAAAAAACCTCATAATTATTTACTAAATAACTATATCATTTTTATTTATTTTTATTATGTTTAATTTAACTTTATATTTAATTATTATTTAATCTTCTATTTGTATTAATTATTATTAATAGATTAGATTTAAGTTACA